ATATTAATCATAGAGACCTTCTATAGTATTGCTTGTGTATCATAGACCTTACTTTCATAAGTCATTAATAAATAGGATTCGAAACCACGACCCTACTATTGTAATGCATATTAATCATAGAGACCTTCTATGGTATTGCTTTTGTATCATAGACCTTACTATCATAAGTCCCTAATATAGGACTAGTAATTGTGCTACAGTACTTCAGGCAGTCGGGCTCCCGACCACCCCATATATATGTACAACTGCAGGTATGTATCTCCGGCAGCTCCTCCAAGACTCTATACCTGAACACCTTCCATAACTTAGGAAACTTTCTTTTATACGTGAACTCCTTCCACAACTTAGGAATTTGTTTTTATACACGAACTCCTTCAACAACTTAGGAAAATTTTCTTTACACGAACTACTTCAACAACTTAGGAAAATTTTCTTTTATACATGAACTCCTTCCACGACTTAGACAATTTTCAACAAATTTTCTAATTAACTTATAAATTTTATTTATCTTTATTTTTATAATATTTTCGACTTGTATTTCTATTAATTATCTTATTTTAAATATTTTTTTCAAGTTTTTAATAAATTTATTTATTATGGAAGACAATATTTTTCCTTTAATTTACTATGTTATGGGTCTAATGTCTGAAATGTATTAATATTAACTTTACGGTTATTAATGTAATTTTATTGTATAATATATATCTTTTAAGACTAATTTTGACGCCCCTTTATATTGAATTTAATTATTAATAATAATATTGGGCCGTCACAATGGCATTATCAAGATCCTGCCTTAACTTTACGATTTTGAAGTATTTTCATCCAAGCAGATAAAGCTTTGGTGAATATAGTCGATGGGTTTCCACTAAGCCAATGGTAAATCCGGGACCAATATTGATAAACACTAACATTCACAATGGAACCGGTAAGTGGAGCGATTGAGTCGAGATCTAGGAAACAGTCATGCTAAGGTGGGGCGCATCGTTAGTCAACATATAAAATTGGGATCACAAATGAAATCTAACTAGCTTATGTACCTTATATCTCTCAAGACTTAGTAGTCATACCTTCATAACTATTAGTTTTTAATGTTTGCGAAACAAATATTTACAATGTAATATAATAATAATTTTAACTTGATTTAGGAAAAATTTACTTAATCGTTCGAAGAATAATAAGTCTAGTCCAATTGTCTTTTTATTCTCAGACATATAATTAAGAATAATCATTAGAATAAAGTGACAAAAAACGAGTACAGCGATGTGAATCATGGCTAACATTGCGAACGAAATCACTATATTATATCAAAGACGCCATGACTTGTAAAGTCAGTTTTCTAGTAAATCAGAAGATACGAGTGTACTTACCCTCATATTTGGCGTACTATAAAGAGACCAAAGATGACCACTTGACATTTCTGTTTTCACGCATGATTTATACGCAATTTATTTAATAGATTTTTCTCTTTTTGTCTTATTTGTAAATTAATTTAGAAAAGCGAGAAAAATATACTGACTCAATATATGTAGAATGTAGGTCAATTTATGTATAATTATGTAATGTAATTACTCTAAGATTTTTCAAATCATGATTATTGCTTACGACTTCAAATTCAATTTTTTTTGCTGGATAAACATATTAACCAAGAATAAACTACACGTATAGAAAGTACTTAAAAGAAGAAACGAATGAAGCCACCTGTAAATAAAGAGAAAACACCAGCATAATATTTGTTATAAACTAGGTAATTTTTAATTAAAATAAGTTTTGTAGAACAACGGTGTATTTTTGTACACTATCTCATTATCCCACCAAGTTCTTCCAACTACCGGCCTATCGCCATCACCTCCTTGTTCTCCAATACAATGGAGTCCATTGTAAACTGCCAGCTCATGAGGTACCTTGAGGATCACCAGCTGATTAGTGACCGCCAATACGGTTTTCGCCGTGGTAGGTCAGCTGGTGATCTTCTGGTCTACCTAACTCACAGATGGGCAGAGGTAGTAGAGTCCAAGCGGGAGACATTTGCCGTTAGTTTGGACATCGCGAAGGCCTTCGATCGGGTTTGGCACAAAGCGCTTCTTTCGAAGCTCCCTTCCTATGGGCTTCCCGAGAAATTGTGCGATTGGATCACCAGTTTTTTTGCAGATCGGAGCATCAAGGTCGTTGTAGACTATTAATGCTGGTGTTCCACAGGGCTGCGTGCTATCGCCAACGCTGTTTCTTCTGCATATCAATGTTATGTTTCAAACCCGTAACATTAATTGCTATGCAGATGACAGCATTGGTGATGCTCTTTACACCGACCGAGCCAATATTTCTCGGGAAAACGTTCTGAGTGCCGGGACAAACTTGTATCTGAAGTCGAGTCTCTGCTGGACAGAGTCTCGGATTGGGGGCGACTAAATCTAGTCCAGTTTAACTCCCAGAAGACACAAGTTTGCGCGTTAACCGCTAAAAAGAACCCCTTTGTCGTATCCCCTCAGTTTCAGGGCACTCCCCTTGTTGCCTCAGCCAGTATCGGAATCCTCGGCGTCGACATATCGAGTAACGTGCAGTTTCATGGTCACTTGGAAGGGAAGGCCATTTTGTCCTCTAAAAAGCTTGGCGTGCTCAGCAGAGCGGGACAGTGTTTCATGCCGGCACACCGCCTGCAACTTTATAAGGCGCAGGTTCGGCCGCACATGGAATACTGTTCCCATCTCTAGGCTGGGGCTCCCCAGTAGTAGCTCCTTCTACTTGACCACATCCAGCGCAGAGCGGCTCGAATCGTCGACGACCGAGTGCTTTCCGATCGGCTCGATTCACTGGCACTGCGAAGAGATGTTGCACCTCTTTACATTTTCTTTCGCATATAACATGGAGAGTGCTCTGAGGAATTATTCGGATTAATCCCAGCTGCCATATTTCGTGAACGCACTACGCGGCAAACGTCCCGATACCATCCACACCATCTGTAGTGGATGCTAGGCGGTCCACCACAGTACGTTTCAAAAGGAGTTTTCTTCCGCGTACAATCTCTCTGTGGAATAATTTACCAACGGCGATTTTTCCGGACCGATACAACCTGGGGATCTTCAAGAAAGGAGCTTACTCCTTTCTAAAGGGCCGGCAACGCACCTACAATTCCCCTGGTGTTGCGGTTGATCATGGGCGGCGGTAGTCACCTAACATCAGGTGAGCCACATGCTCGTTTGCCCCCTCTTCTATAAAAAAAAACACAGTTAGATCATTCTGCGTAGATCAGACCAAAGACAATATTTAAAAAGCTGAAGGTACTCCGGGTTAACTTTGACATCGGGACGTCTGTTACCTCAGTTCCCCGTGACCATGGGTGCTGAAAAGCACCCGAAACGTCAGGTATTAAAAATAAAATAAATAAAACGCGATAAAATCCGTATAAGTAGTTTTAATCAATTAATTTTAGTTTTAAAACTAATACCACGCAAAAGAAATTGTAAAAAATTTGTTTTTAAAACCGATATTTAAGGAATTATTTCCCTGAACTACTATGCGTGGAATTTTATTGCAAGAAATTGTGAGTTTTACCTGGAGATCTATCATTAAAAGGGTTTTAATAATAAAATTTATTTAACGTTTTATTAAAAAACATTTATTTTTATTTATTGATCAAAACTTACAATTATCAAGATCTCACGGTCAAAGTTGGACTCATGGATTAAACTCATCGATTACGACACAACATCTTCTCGTCGCGTATCTCAAAACTTGTGTGTTGTCAGTAATTACATATTGATCTGTGATGTGGCTCTTCACTGCTAGCCGTATGAGGAAGCTCAAGGTCGCTCAGAGAGCTATGGAGGGGCCGATGCTTGGGGTTGCTCCGACTTAGAAATAAGATATCTGCAGTAGAAGCAGAGTAACTGACATAGCCCAACGCTATAACTCTGTAAAACAGAGAATAATATGTTAACCCAAGTTTATCTCAAAACGTGATGTATTGTGATTGTGTGATTTTTCCTTCTAATAAATCCATATTAATCCGGCCTTTTAAGAGATCACTCCAAAAAGGTCAGTTATTTGATAAAAGTTCCAATATTTATATGTCCCACTGCTGGGCACAGGCCTTATCTTATTTTTGAGGGGGTTTTAGGGCAAGGAAGTGTTAAACATGCTGCCCCAATGCGTGTTGGCGAACTTTACATGTCATCAAAATATTTTTATTTCTTATTTCTCAGACATGCAGGTTTCCTCACGATGGTTTCCTTCACCGCCGAGCACGTGATAAATCAGCATTTAAAATTGTAATTAAAAATTCGTTGGTTCCGGCGGGGATCGAACCCTCATCATATTGCAGCTCTCATATTGTGAATTTTACAGCGAGCGCTTAGCCCCTGAGCAACCACGAACATTTCATAGGTTGTAATTAATAAATGGGTAAAAGAATATGTAACGTCAAATTTTTATTTTTATTAATTATAAAGCGACTAATTGTGTACATTCTATACTGCAGCTATATTATGATTGTAGCACGAATGGGTCGGCTCAACCAGGGAAGGAGCACGCTTTTACGGAATACCACCACGAAATAGCAGATTAATGCTGCTGTGTTGCGTATGGTGAGTGTAGCAAACCGAAGACTAATTTTACTGGAAACGAGACATTACATCTTAGTCGTCAGAGGCGACACGAATCCGCATCTTGGTTCTTAATCGCGAATAGATGTAGATGTAAATGGGTCACAGCACCCATTTACCATCAGGTGGTCTGTGCACTAGTTTGTCACCATTATTATTTTAAAAAAATATTTACATAATAAACATATTATATTATGTGGAGTGGAACTCACATCAGCATCAGCTCCAAAATGAGATAGTGGATTTTACTTTATTCGAAATATTTTTTTTCACAAATAATTAGTTTTTACCCGAAATTTTTCCTTTTGCCCTAAACTTAAATTGATCATGTTAGGCTGATACTTTTTTCAGAATATAGAAGTTAAGAAATTATAATGAGCGTCTTATTTTTTTTTTCAGATACCGATAAGCAGCGAAATAGATATAAGAGAAAGCAAGCAAATGTGCAGATGTAGGAATGTAAAAGTCAAATTAAAGACGCGGACAAAGATGAAGCGGCGGTCGCTGCCCGCCGTTCGCGAGGACAACCACAAAAGGAACATGTGTAACAGTGATTTTGTGATCTATGTTATGGTGATAACGACGGCGGTGCTAAGTTATGTGAACAGTTTGAATGGCGATTTTGTCCATGATGATATCCCTGCTATAGTGACGAACGGTGACGTAATAGGAACAAACTCTTTTAAGGAACTATTTCTGAACGATTTTTGGGGCACGCCCATGTCTGATGCAAGCAGCCATAAGTCTTATCGACCATTGACCACGCTTTCTTTTCGGTAAGTGATCCTGGAATACCATATAATATTTCTGTATAATTTTCATTGTCTTAATATATGGTGCGAAGTAGTGAACAAAAATTGTTGTACAAATGCGAATCTATTTCTATGCTCCAGTTCACGTTTTCATAATAAGGTAAATTTCAGAGAAGATTAAGGAGTGAAACGCCGAAATAATTGAACGAGATCTATTATAATTTTATCTAATCCCTTTTTTAACAAGATAAAAACGTAATTTTAAAAGAATATTTTAAAAGGATAATTTTAAAATGAAAAAAGAGGCTTAACTTACTTCTAGTATCCCACATATAATTCGGTATATAAAGAAGGAGGAAGAAGGACGGGCATTTTGGTATGAGAAGTCGGACCTTACTATCAAAGTTCAAATTAGTATAAATATAATCAATGTCTCATAGAAATAAGGTTATACACTTTTTTATAATAATAGAAATTGGGTATTTTTCTAATTATTAAAAATAAATAAAAGTTTTATAACGTAATGATTTCTTAATATTAGATTTGATAAACAACAAATTCTCGCAAAAGAACACCGATTCCTACCGAAACGGAGGCAAAAAAACATTTCAAAGAAATGGATGGTGGCCTCCATCATCATTATTAAAACCCTTCTCAACACACCGCTGAACAAGGCCCCCCCCAGGTACGCGAGACAGCACCCCCCTTCGCCCCCCCTCCCTCGACTTCCTGTGTGGCCAATTTAAATTTTAATTTTTAACTAAGCAGACTTAGACAACCTCGTTTTTAAAACAAACGAAATTAAGAGTTGCTTACAAGGTTTTTCCTGAAGGCAACAGTCATACATTTCTATATTTTCAATAATTTGTTCTGTTGTTGATACCCTATCATCCATAATAGGTATTAAGCTAGCCACTGTTTTCAAATTGAACATTTCCATGGTTAACAATAAAATCGTACTCTTATAATACAAAATCTTTTATAAATTTCCTCAATTTTATCAACTATAGTAACTAAAACATTAAAGTAATAACACTCCTTAGAACTAACATTATACAAAACAATTTTATAGTTATTATATATTTCTTTTGCTATATTTATTTCACTTTCAACGTAATCTGTATATTTATACCTTTTCTGGCCTAATTTTCTTAAAATTATCTGTATATTTTGTAATTACTCATAGATTAACTCTAAATTGTCCTTTAGCACTCATTATTTAAATCAAATCGAAAGACAGGTAAACTAGCATACATAATGCACATTAAAATTTAGCAATAAATTGTACCTTTATGTTGCACCTTTAGTAGTAGACTGTCTCATCACACTGGAAATGTAGCTGGATCTCGGAGCTTACACAACTGATTCATCCTTGCCTTCCTGGTCCCTGGCTGGATGTCCTGAACGCCCCGATAATCTCGAGCACAGCCTCCGGTTTACGTCAGCACGTATCTTTCTTTGAATTAAATTTTTATGGCATCTTATATATTTCCGATAAGCTAGGTAGCCAAACGCTGCAAATAGTATTGCCAGCACCGTCGAGAGCAATATGTTGTTAATCTAGGTGTGCTGGGCAGCCTCTGCACTATTGGTTTCCACGACACTGCGCGATAACAATGTCTTTAGGTTCGGATTTGGATTGAGATTTGCCCATTTTCGTAAACTTTACTTGCACTATTATTCTTCAAAACAAAATGTAAAAAATTTCCATCGTACTTGTTCGCACCTCCTTTGGTAATAAGTCCAGTTCGTAAATGTGCATGCGCTGCAAATTGTGTAACGTACGCCACCGCGGACCTGAAACGCTCGCGCATGGCAGGGTCGCCATGAGGTGAGGTGCGGGGATGTTGAAATGACACGACAGCTTTGTAAGACGGCCTGTTTATTACTGCTCTATAACTTACAATTACAATGAATATTTATTTATTTATTTTTAATAGAAGAGGGGGCAAACGAGCATGCAGCTCACCTGTAGTTAATTGACTACCGACACCCATGATCAACCGCAACACCAGGGGAATTGCAGATGCGTTGCTGGCCTTTAAGAAAGGAGTAAGCTCTTTTCTTGAAGGTCGTTGCGAGAGAGGTCGTACGCGGAAGAAAACTCCTTGTGAAACATACAGTGGTGGACCGCCAAGCATCCATATGGTGTAGATGGTATCGGGATGTTTGCCGCGTAGTGCGTTCACGAAATTTGGCGGCTGGGATTAATCCGAACAATTCCTCAGAGCACTTCCCACGGTATATGCGAAAGAAAATGCAAAGAGATGCAACATCTCTTCGCAGCGCCAGTGAATGGAGCCGATCGGAAAGCACTCGGTCGTCGACAATTCGAGTCTCTCTGCGCTGGATGCGGTCAAGTGAAAGGAGCTGATACTGGGGAGCTCCAGCCCAGAGATGGGATCAGTATTCCATGTGCGGCCGAACCTGCGCCTTGTAGTTGCAGGCGGTGTGCCGGCATGAAATACTGTCCAGCTCTGCTGAGCACGCCAAGCTTTTTAGAGGCCAATTTGGCCTTCTCTTCCAAGTGACTACGAAACTGCACGTAACTCGATATGTCGATGCCGAGGATACCGATACTGGGTGAGGCAACAAGGGGAGTGTTTTGAAACTGGGGAGATACGACAAAGGGGTTCTTTTAAGCGGTTAACGCGCAAACTTGTGTCTTTTGGGGATTAAATTGGACTAGATTTGGTCGTCCCCAATCCGAGACTCTGTTCAGCAAAGACTCGACTTCAGACACAAGTTTATCCCGGTACTCGAAGACGTTTTCCCGAGAAATATAGGCACGGCCGGTGTACAGAGCATCACCAGTGCTGTCACCTGCATAGCGATGAATGTTACGGGTTTGCTACATATCATTGATATGCAGAAGAAACAGCGTTGACGATAGCACGCAGCCTTGTGGAACACCAGCATTAATAGGCTTGTAATCGGAGCTTGCACCGTCTACAACGACCTTGATGCTCAGATCTGCAAGAAAACTGCTGATCCAATCGCACAATTTCTCGGGAAGCCCATAGGAAGGGAGCTTCGAAAGAAGCGCTTTGTACCAAATCTGATCGAAGGCCTTGGCAATGTCCAAATTAACGGCCATTTCCTCCCCCTTGAACTCTACTGCCTCCGCCAATCTATAAGTTAGGTGCACCAAAAGATCAGCAGCAGATCGACCACGGCGAAAACTGTATTGTCGTTCACTAATCAGCTGGTGATCCTCAAGGTACCTCATGAGCTGGCAGTTTACAATAGACTCCATTGTTTTGGAGAACAAGGAGGTGATGGCGATAAGCCGGTAGTTGGACGGGTCTGAGCGGTCGCCTTTTTTAGGGATCGGGTGGACGAAAGCCGTCTTCCATGATTTTGGGACTACGGCTAGGGAGTAAGAGTACAGGAAAAGACGCGTTAAAACCGGTGCCAACTCTGGAGCGCACGTCCTCAGCACAATTGGGGGGATTCCGTCAGGCCCACTCGACTTGTGGATGTCCAGGGAGAGGAGTGCTTTGCGAACCGAGCGCTGTGTAAACTGCACTTCCGGCATGGAGCACTCACACCTTGGGATGGTCGTGTGCGTACTCCCCCCGTCATCGAGAGTCGAGTTGGACGCAGAGAAAGAGCCTATCAGATCGGCTTTCTCGTTTGCGGTATAGGCCAGTGAGTCGTCTTCCCTGTCAAAGATGTAAGAGATGGCTGACAGAAATTCCCCTGGACAGCCTTGGCGAGAGACCAGAATCCACGGGGTCCAGAAGGAAGGCGAACTAGTTTCTCGCCAATTCTGCCTATGTTCTCTGACTTTGCCTTGGTAATGACTCTTTTGAAGGACCTAGAGGCGGAATTATACTTCTCTTTTAGAGCGCTGCTGTTTACATCCCGGAACGCTGATGCGTCAGCCCAGGCTTCGTAGCACTCCTACTTATAGGATGATGCTATCTTACAGAAGCGACCAAACCATGGCTGAGATTTGCCTCCGATGGGCACCACAGAGGAAGGAATAAAAAGTTCCATATCCTGAAGTACCACATAAGCGACAGAATCCGGAACAACGTTGGGATCGTCCGGCGAGAAGCAAACCCGCCCCCAAAGGTAGGATGCAAAGAAAAACCGCATCCCATCCCAATAGGCTGACCTATAGTGCCAAACACGGCGGAAGCTTGCAGAATGCAACTGCGATTTCACCATGAGTCGCACCACACTCCGGACAAGACAATGTTCCGAGGAGTCTAAAGGGCCGTCGACGGAAATCTGATATCCGTCCGGGTGAGAGGTCAGCAGAAGGTCCAACGGGGAATGTGCATGATTCTCCACATCTGTAATCTGCGTAGGCGAAGTAAATACTTGTGTCAGACCATATGCCAAGGCAAAATCATGAACAGATCTCCCCGCATGATCGGTTAAATGTGAACCAAGCCATTTGGCGTGATGGGCGTTAAAGTCGACGAGGATCATGATCTCTGCGGAGGGGATCCGCTGTAGCAACGAATCTGTGGCCATTTGGACGTTGTCGAAGAGTCGGTCTGTTTCGGCATTACCGATATGGGACCTATAGACGCACCCGTAGACGCGCGGATGATCGTAACTGTCTACGCGTAGCCAAAGGATGGACAGGTCCGAACCTTCAAGTCTGACAAGGCGTCGAGAACAGATGTCCACTCTGACGTAAACGCAAACTCGAGCCCGAGGCACAAAGGAGTGTTTCTGTTTGTACCACGGGTAAAAGAGATATTAGACATTAGCCATAGAGGACACCTGCGTCTCGCTCAGAAAGAGCAGAGCCGGCTTCGCCGTCTCGAGATGGTAGTGACCGGCGTTTAGGTTAGAGTGAAGTCCCTTGAAATTGCAGAAATTCACGAATAGCGTGGCAGGGGTCGCCTTGGTCTTGTTGCTCCGTTTACCCCGAGCAGTTGTAGTCTTGAGCGGAATTCTGCCTCCCCCAGATTACTCGGGGCAGCCTGAGCACCCACGCTCAGGAGTGGAGAAACTTGGTCGCGGATGCTCGGCGAGGGATTCTCGAGGGGTGCTGGTACCCT